GGCACCAACCAGAATATCAATGGAAGCACAGTCACCACTCCTAATCAGTCAGATTCGATTATTACTTGCCATAAACTGAATGGTAGTAATTATCTACAATGGTCTCAGTCCGTTATGATGTATGTGTGTGGAAAAGACAAGGAGGACTATCTGACAGGTGATGCACCTGCTCCAGATCAAGGAGATCTAGGCTACAAGAAGTGGAAAAAGGAAAATTATACTGTGATGTCATGGCTCATCAATTCCATGACAACCAGTATAGGAAAAAATTTCCTACTATACAAAACAGCTCAAGAGATCTGGGAGGCTGTGAAAGAAACATCCTCAACTTCAGATAACACTTCTGAATTATTTGAGGGAGAATTGAGTGTAACTCAATACTTCAACAACCTTGTGAGACTCTGGCAGCATCTTGATGTGTTTGAGACATACAATTGGTCATGTTCTAATGATAAGAAGTTATATCAGGAGATCTGTGAAAGGAAGAGAGTCTTCAAATTCCTGTCAGGTTTAGACACGAGTCTAGATGAGGTTAGGGGCAGAATAATGGGAAAGAAACTCACCCTTAGAGAAGCCTTCTCAGAAGTCAGAAGAGAAGAAAGCAGAAGGAAGGTAATGATGGGTCTGAAATCTCAAGGCCAACAACAAAATATTGAAGGGTCAGCCTTATATACCTCTTCCAGATAGAATGAAAACAAGAAAAAAGGGAGGCCATGGTGTGATCACTGTAAGAAACCGGGCCATACCAAAGAAACATGCTGGAATTTGCATGGTAAACCTAAAGATTTCAAACCAAGCAAAGGGAAAGGAGCCTATGTAGCTACTGGAGATAAAGAAGATATGGGCACATCTAATCTTGCTGCATTTACCAATGAGCAGATTGAGGTTCTTCAACATCTAATAAGTCAGAGCAAGGGGGCTGCACCATCAACTAGCCTTACTGCTCAGACAGGTAATGCCCTAACAACCCTAGTTGCACACAATCAGCCCTATTGGATTGTTGATTCAGGGGCATCAGATCACATGACTGGAGACAGTAAGTTTTTTGCTGAATTGATCCCTATGAAGAATAAGGTAACTGTGAAGATTGCTGATGGAACTACTTCAGCAATAAAAGGGACTGGAAGAGTCAAAATTTCTGACAAGATAGTGCTTAACAATGTGTTATATGTTCCAGATTTAAAGTTTAACCTCTTATCAGTCAGTAAACTGAATAGTGATACACATTGCCTAACTAAATTCTCTTCACAATTGTGTGAATTTCAGGATTTGGATTCGGGGAGGATGATTGACAGTGCTAAGCAAAGTGGTGGACTCTATCTTCTGGAACATTCACCACATTCACCCAACTCCATCAACAAGACAACTTCCAGTGAGAGTCAATTCAACCATAAGTTCTTAGGGAGTCTTAGTAGGAGTCAATTTGATACTCAAATTCAGTTATGGCATTATCGTCTTGGTCATCCTAATGTCTTGTACTTAGAAAAAATATTTCCTTCATTATTCATAAATAAAAGTTCTGCCTTTGATTGTGAATTTTGTCAACTTGCTAAACATACTAAAAGTCACTATCCCAGTCTACCTTACAAACCATCTAAACCTTTTTCACTCATCCACAGTGATGTTTGGGGCCCATCTAAGGTCAAAAATCTCACTGGCTCAAGGTGGTTTGTTCTGTTTATTGATGATCATACACGTCTATCCTGGGTCTTCCTCATGAAAGATAAGTCAGAAGTCAATATTATCTTTCAAAAATTCTATTCTATGATCAAAACTCAGTTTCAAACCAAGATTCAGGTTTTTAAAACTGATAATGCCAAAGAATATTTCTCATCCAATTTAGGGTAGTTTCTGTCAAAAAAAGGGATTATACACATTAGCTCCTGTGTTGACACCCCACAACAGAATGGGGTGGCAGAAAGGAAGAATAGACACTTACTGGAAGTTTCTAGAGCCCTTATGTTCACCACTCACACTCCTAAACACTACTGGGGAGAGGCTGTCCTAACTGCAGCTTACCTGATAAATAAGATGCCCTCCAAAACTCACAAATTTAAAACACCATACCAAATCCTATCTTATCTACATCCTCACATCCCTATTACCAATCTTCCACCAAAGGTCTTTGGTTGCAAAGCATTTGTTCACAACCATTCTCCAGTTAGGTCAAAACTGGATCCTAAATCCTTACCCTGTATATTCATAGGATATGCTGCCAACCAGAAAGGATATAAATGTTATTCTCCTGCCACCAAAAAGGTCTACATCACAATGGATGTAACCTTTTTTGAAAATCAGCCTTTCTATTCCAAAACTGAATTTCAGGGGGAGAACCACAATGAAATCCAGTCTTTGAATCCTATTTCAGACACTATTCCAGACCTCCAAGAATCTGAATCTAACCACACTGAATCTATACTCCCAGACAGACCTGAATCAAACCCTCCAGACAATACAGTCTCTCCACCAACCACACCATTTCAGCCACCAACTTCATCACCCCAATCATTACCCCAAAATCCTACACTAAATCAAAATTTCCCATTCTACAAGAATACCTATAAGCAGAAACCTAGAACCAGAGTTCCAGAAGAAGAGCACATCACTCCAATTAACACCACCCAATCATCTGACTCAAATTTGAGTCCTGATGACAAAGAGGTTGAGGTTATAGAAGGAGATGATGAGGAATCAGACTTGCCTATTGCTATCATCAGAAAGGGAGTAAGGGAGTGTACCAAGCATCCTATCTATAATTTTGCTTGTTATAAGAAACTATCAGCAAACTATCAAACTTTTATTTCAAAGATTGATAGTATTCAGGTTCCTAACAACATCAAGGAAGCCCTTGAACATCCAGGGTGGAGGAAGGCTGTCCATGATGAATTAGCAGCATTGAAGAAGAATGGAACTTGGGTGCTTACAGATTTGCCAGCAGGGAAGAGAACTGTTGGCTGCAAGTGGGTATTTACAGTTAAATATCAGGTTGATGGAAAGATTGAAAGGCTGAAGGCAGGGCTGGTTGCTAAGGGGTTCACCCAAGCTTATGGCATTGATTATTCAGAGACATTTGCACCAGTGGCAAAGTTGAACACCATTAGAGTGCTGTTATCACTCGCAGTGAACCTAGACTGGCCATTACATCAACTAGATGTTAAGAATGCCTTTCTTAATGGAGACCTAGAAGAGGAAGTATTCATGGATGTACCACCTGGATTAGAAGACTTGGGGAAATCTGGTCAGGTTTGTAGACTGAAAAAGTCCTTGTATGGACTAAAGCAGTCTCCTAAAGCATGGTTTGATAGGTTCACAAGATCAGTTATTAAACAAGGGTTCATGAAACGTCATGCAGACCATACACTGTTTGTAAAGAGAGCAGACTCTGGAAAATTGGCTATTCTTATAGTATATGTTGATGATATTATTATGACTGGGGATTATAAGGCTGAATTGGACAGATTGAAGGCTCATCTAGCAAAAGAATTTGAGATCAAGGAGCTAGGCGAGTTGAAGTACTTCCTGGGAATGGAAGTGGCAAGATCTAAGAAGGGCATTTTCATTTCACAAAGGAAATATGTTCTAGACTTGCTAAGTGAAACTGGAATGCTTGGGTGCAAGCCTATGGACACTCCTATGGATATGTCAAAGAAGTTAGGCAGTGAGACTTTAAGTCCACAAGTTGATAAGGGTAGATATCAAAGCCTGGTAGGGAAGCTAATCTACCTATCTCACACACGGCCAGACATTGGTTTCTCAGTAAGTGTGGTAAGTCAATTCATGAATGACCCAACCGAGGAACACCTAACTGCAGTGTATAGAATTCTGAGGTACCTAAAAATGACTCCTGGAAAAGGATTGTTGTTTCAGAAACAAGGGACAAGGAAAATTGAAGTGTTTACAGATGCTGACTGGGCTGGAAGCCTCTTAGACAGAAGGTCAACTACTGGTTACTGTACCTATGTATGGGGTAATTTAGTCACCTGGAGGAGCAAGAAACAATCGGTGGTTTCTAGAAGTAGTGCGGAATCTGAGCTCGGAGCTTTAACACAAGGAATCTGTGAAGGATTGTGGTTAAGAAGATTGATGAATGAGCTCAAACTCTCATTTGAAAGCTCCATCCAGATTTCATGTGACAACCAGTCTACTATCAGTATTGCTAAGAATCCTGTTTATCATGACATGACCAAACACATTGATATAGACAGAAGGTTCTTATCAGAGAAGATTGCAGCAAAGGATATCCAGCTGAACTATGTTCCAACTAATAAAGTGTAGAATAAGGAGGAATTGAGACTGAAAAGCTTGATTCATTCCATGAAATGATATCCTATTTATACAACATTTTAGAGCTAGGCTACTAATTATAATATTAAATACAAAGATTTGTAACTGAAATATTAAATACAAATATTCTAATTTATTTTGTAACTCATGTAACTGATCTCTAGAGCTGTCTAGACTCTTTTGTCTATATGGTCTCAAACAAGCACCTCGAGTATGGTACCAATCTCTTAGTGGATTTCTATTATCCCTTGGTTTTCAACAATCAGTCTCTGATGCCAGTCTCTTCATCTTTTCTTCTCATCCATCATTGAAACCAGGGGGTTGTTTCATGTAAACCTCCTCTTGAAGAGCACCATGTAGAAAAGCATTGTTGACATCTAGTTGGTTTATGTGCCAGCCATGAGAAAGTGCAATGGTCAGAACAACCCGAATAGTAACTTGTTTGATGACTGGGCTAAAGGTCTCAGAGTAATCAATCCCCGGGCGCTGATGAAAGCCTTTAGCCACCAATCGAGCTTTGAAACGATCCAAGGAACCATCGGGCTTATATTTCACAGTATAAACCCATTTGCAGCCAACAATGTTCTGACCAGGATGAGCGGGTACAAGTTCCCATGTCCTTTGTTGAACCAAAGCATCAAATTCCATAGACATAGCCTTCCTCCATTCAAGTACCTGTAAAGAGCTTGAGAAGCACAAGTAGGAATAATATGATGAGGTAATGGTGAGTGAGTGACAACATTAGCTTGTTTACGAGAACGAAGGGTCACTTGGTGGGGGTACGTTTGGGTGGAGAGGCTTTTGGATCATGATGATGACCCAAGGTAGATATGGGATTATTTGTAGTGGGAGTAATGGTTGAGGGGTTGGTGTTGGGTACATTAGGTAAGGATGGAGTAGTTGGGTTTTGTTTGGGCCGACGGTGATAAGTGATGAGGATCGGCGGGTTAGAAGCTGGTGGAGTGTTATGAGGAGCAGGGTTAGGGGAGTCTTGTGTTGTTGGGGTACGAGTAGTAGGAGACGCCTTTGCTAGTGATGTACCTGAGATAGGAAGATAAGAGATAGGAGGTTGAAGCCAACTGTCAATTTCAGAAGACAGATCTGTAACGGGTGTTGTATTATTAGAGAAAGGGAAGACAGACTCATTGAACACCACATGCCGACTAAAAAAGATGCGATTGGTAGTAGGATCAAGACAGCGATAAGCGCTTTGTTGATCGCAATACCCAAGAAAAATACAAGGTCTGGACCGTGGTTCTAACTTATGAGCTGCATAAGGACGGAGCCATGGAAAACATTGACATCCGAAAATAGCAAGTTTTGTGTAATTGGGAGGTTTTTGAAAAAGTTTTGCATAGGGAGTACAAAAACCTAGAGATGCTGTTGGTTGCCTATTAATTAGATATACAGCAGTTAAAAAGGCGTATGACCAATATTTTAACGGCATAGAAGAGTGGTGAAGTAAAGTGATCCCTGTTTCTACAATATGACGATGTCGGCGTTCAGCGAAGCCGTTATGCTCAGGGGTATATGGAGGGGTCAGTAAGTGAGTAATACCACAAGAGGCCAGAAATTTCCCTTGGGATATGTATTCACCCCCTCCATCTGAATAAACCATTTTAATAGATTTTTGAAAAAAGTTTTCTACGATCTTCTTAAATTGTTGAAAAATTGAAGTTACCTCAGACTTGTGAGTGATAGTGTAAAACCAAATGTATTTTGTGTAGTGATCAACAAAAATAACATAATAACGAAAACCATCCACAGAATTAATGTGTGAGGGACCCCAAACATCTGTATAAATTAAATCAAGTGGACCTGAACTTGAAAGGGAAGATTTAGCAAAAGGTAACTTGTGACTTTTATTACTTGCGCATGAAGTGCATAAGGACAAATCCTTATTAACATCTTTAAAGGAAATACCTAATGAGGAAATAACTTTTTGAGTGATGGGAAGGGCAGGATGTCCTAAACGACAATGCCATTTATTCAGAGAAAATTTTGTAGTAACATTGACACATGGTGATGAAGGAACAGGAACATCAGGCAAGCTGTAGACGTCACCTTTATTCATACCCCGTAACAAAATTGCTCCCGTTTTCCTGTCCTTGACAAGACAAAAAGAAGGGTGAAACTCGATTAGTACATCATTGTCACGGCATAATTTGGCAACTGAAATTAAATTAGTATGAATAGAAGGAACAAAGAGTATTAGGTAAGGAGAGAGAATGAAAGGTCATATTCCCAACTTGTGCAATTTCAAGACTTTTACCGTTACCAATAATGAGAGAGTCTGTGCCGGTGTAATCGGACGCCAGGGTAAGATTGTTTAAATTATTGGTGACATGATTAGTTGCTCCCGAGTCCAGCAACCATCCGGTTCTCCTGGTCGTGGCAGTATTGGCCTGGGGGGGATAATTTTGTTGTTCAAACCTGTGCCAACAGTTTATAGCGAGATGGTTCGGTTTGCTACAAATTTGACATATAACAGCACCCGGACTGGTATTTCCCCCAAAATTAATACGCCTGCCCCCGGGATTATTATTTCCACGTCGATTTGAATTGTAGAAGTTGCTGGGACGTGGGCCTCGATTTTGATTTTTGAAAAAAAATTTATTCTGAGTATTGGGCCTATTGGGTAGAGTCTGAAACTGGGCTGATGGACCTGGGCCTAATATAGACGTGTTCTGGTCTATACTTCTGCGAACGGTCATTGTGACCGAACTGTCTTCTTCCTCTTTTCTTTCTACCGTCGCTGCGTTCGCAGTAACAACAGCCGCGGAATTCAAGAGCTCCCTCCTTCGCAACTTGTCTTCGAATCTGACCAGTAAGGAGTGGAGTTCTTCGAAGTTAGTTTCATCTGGGCGGATGGAGTTCTCCACGGATTCAAACTCGGGACGAAGACCCTCCAGGGCTTGAATGGCAAAGTCTTCATCGTCAACAGGTCGGCCGGCCATGGCTAGTTCATCCGCGAGGGTGCGAAGGTGGTGAAGATATTCTGCTACAGGTTGCGACCCCTGTTTAGCATGGCGGAATTGGTCTTTAAGACTTCGAATTTTGGAAGCTGACTGGGTCCCGTATAGGCGTTCCAGTGTTTTTCAGACGGAGGCGGAGGTCTTTGCAGACCCAACCAGCGGTTTGCAGGCGGAACTGAGAGAAGATACAAGAGCGTGCCGCACCAGACGATCCTGTCTCTTCCATCGCATAAAGTTGGCAGCTTCAGTTTCTGGAGGAGGACTGATTTTTTCATCAATATACTGATCTAGATGAGACCCGAACAGAAGGTCCATTACTTGGTCTCTCCATACAAAGTAATTTGATCCATCTAGTTTTTCTGGGAATTGGTTAGGGCTGAGCATAACAATGCCATCCGGGGTTAGGGGGTTATTGGCTGAGAGAGATGACGTTGAGTTATCATTCACGTCTTCTGTACTTTTGTCTCTATTATTTTCATGAGCCATGGGCAGAGAAAGGTGATGCGGGGAGGATAGTTCAGTGAAGAGAATAGGCCGTTTAGGCCTCTAGAGGCTCTGATACCATAATAAAGTGTAGAATAAGGAGGAATTGAGACTGAAAAGCTAGATTCATTCCATGAAATGATATCCTATTTATACAACATTTTAGAGCTAGACTACTAATTATAATATTAAATACAAAGATTTGTAACTGAAATATTAAATACAAATATTCTAATTTATTTTGTAACTCATGTAACTGATCTCTAGAGCTGTCTACTCTTCTGTCTATACCATCCAGACAGCAAATAGCGGATATACTCACCAAGGCACTTCCCAGAATTCAGTTTGAAGACTTATCTAGCAAGCTGTGCATGGATGATATCCATCGCCCAGCTTGAGGGGGAGTGTAGATTATTACAGATAATTACTCATCCGATTTAGCATTTATGAGGAGATATCTTAGAGATCTCAGAATCTCTAAATATCCTCAATTATCTTGTCTTTATTAGGGAATCTTAATTAGAGGATTCCTTCCTTATTCCACTTTTCTCTAGCTATATATATTCTGTATTCATCTCATTGTATTACACAGAATAAGAGAAATAAAATACATTTTACTTTCTCAAGTTATTTCTACACATTTATTAACATATTACTATTTGTTTCTCTTTGATAACTTCTAGATGTTTAGAGCCCATTCGGTAGCACAAAAATCGGCTGATTTGGCTGGTTCTGCTGAAATTTATGAAGTTCTGGCTGAAGTGGCTGTATTGACTGATTCTGCTGATTTAAGAAAAAATTATTTTTCAAATATATGTTATTAATAAAATAAAGAAAAATATATATGTAAAAATAGCTAAAATTATCATCTACAGTTCTTCAGCCAATATAGCCAGAAAAGTTACTCCAACCTTACTTTTTCTACTTATTACACAATTCAGCGCGCGAAAGCAAAAGTTACGTGTTTGGTGGAAAAGTTGGCTGATAAGCCGAAAAACAGTGTTGACAAACGGCCTCTTAATTTATAGGCAATGAAAAACAGTGTTGCCAAACGGCCTCTTAATTTATAGACAATTTACCTTTTCGTTACTAGTAATGCATAGTAGAAAAAGCAAGCTGAGTTGCCGAGATATTATCTTATTATATATGGAGTATTACATCGGAATGAACATATATTTCCCGTTTCCTATAGCTGTACTTCAAAAAATAACTATTTAACAAGCTGTAAGGAATTTCTGGTGCCCAATGATTTTCCTTCAGTAGTTGAATTTATCTCCCTCTTTTGATATGTTATATACTTATATTGCAAGTCAATGAACAATTTCAGAGGAACGCGATGCAAGCAGAGCAGGAGCTGATACGTGGAAAGACAAAATTGAGGTTTGTTGGTGGAGCATTCCTGAAGCTTTATTGAGCATATCTTTGTTTCCTTTGATTGGTTTGGTTATATCCTACTGAACATTTTATTTCATCAGACAAGCTGGGAAGCAAATCAGAAGTGTGATTTACTCGGCTTATAAGATTGAAAGACAAGCTGCAGGTAACTAAAACTTCTATGTAAAAAAATCTTTCAATTATGTTTTTAAGATGATAGCACTCAATTCATCACTAGCCTATGAGGATGATGGATTAAGATTTATCATCTCGTTATTTCTTCATGGACAAGGACATCTAGCAACACTGCTACGGTGTTCTTTTGGATGTGTTTAGTGTTAAATAGTCTTATATAATTAACTGACAACAACAAGATTGTCCCAGTGTCACAACATTACCCGTAAAGGGGGTCGAATGTGCGCAGCTTGTGCTAAAACACAGAAAGACTGTTTTCGGATGACTCATGGTCAAAATTACATGGACTGACAACTGTTTCATAACAAAGAAGCACAAACAATTTAGTGAACCATTTTACTTTATTCAATCATATTCCCAAGCCCCAGTCTTTGGCTCCATTGGAAATGATGGAAATAATACAATTAATTGACACCAAGTTTAATGCCAGTTACAACAATTGGTTGATAAAGTGCTAACAACGATTTTGAATAATGAATTATTAGCTCTAATAAGATATCGTTTTCCAGGTTTGAAAGATGTTCTTAAAGAGCTTCCACGTAGAGAAGCTTCTTTGTTTAGATCACAGGTAAGTTTCTTGGATGCTTTGCTTGATGTGGGCATCCGTGTTATATTTCTTCATTTTTTGGCCTTCAGCTTCATTTTATTTTGTAGTGATGTTGAATTTTAAGTGTGAACATGGAAAAAATCATTGCTTTATTAATTTCACAGCAGCAGCGTCACAGATTTATTTATGTATATATTTTTGTTCTGTTTTTTAGGTTTCCAAAATTGCTTCAGAGGCAACAAAAGAAAGGAATTTTCTTACAAAGGAGGTTACCAAAATAAGCAACCATGGCATCTCGGTCTGATTCCACCCTTTCTGCCCTCATTCTTTCTACTGTGGGGAACAGTTCTGGAAAACTGTTCCACCAAATAAAAGCAGAGTTTCTAGGAGTTTTAATTGTTTATATTCTCTTGATGGGTCTTCATCTGTCCAGAGAACAAGTTTTGCTTATGCACTTCAGCCTGTGATGCCATTTCCCCTTCAGTTTGGATTGAATGAGATGGCCTAAATTACCAATAGTGAAAATATGAGAGGGAAGTGGTTTTATTTTTGTGACCAGCGTTCTTGCTATTTGTTGTTTTTGCTCGAAGCTTTGGCCTTTTAGTTTGTTTCTTCTTGCCCCCCAAGTCTTCCAGTTATAGACTTCCAGGTCATTTGAGCCACGTTCTAATGAAAACATACATGTGAAACAAAAAGCCACAGGCCATAGGGATATGAACTCAGGCTCATTCCTTTTGATGTAGGTATATGCACTTCTATCTCGCCGATACTCATGCTTTGAATAAAAATAAAAATTGAAATTCAAATTTAAATTGGGTCAACATTATGAATTTGTTCTTGATATGCATTGAAAGCGAACAGTAGCCAGCTCAAGACTCAAGTAGATGATGGTCCGCAGGAAATAATTTTAGTTCGAAGACATGTTTATCCAATGCTCATAATTTTACACAATACAATATAATATACACACAAATAAGCCCACTATCAATACAGTGTATCCGGTCCTAGCATAGGAAGCAACAGATTTGTAATAGTTCCATACTTGTTCTGGATTAATATGTTAGTCTAGTCTAAAAAACGTATAAAATGGAATCAAATGGAAAACTATAGCCTTTTACCTGATTCATCTTTTACCTGTGTGGCACAATTGCCCTTTTTATGGTCACTACGAGCCAGTATAGTTGGGGGATTTTGGGGGAGAGCCGGAGAGGGAAGGCTAGGATAAATTTTTTTCTTCATTAATTTAACTGAATTTGTTTGTTTGGACTAGGCTTGGACTCGGGTCGGGCCACCCGGCCCGCTACTGTGCGGGACCGGGACCGGCCCGGTTCTCGGGTCCGGGTCCGGGTCGGGCCTAGGCCTGGGGGGTAGGGCGGGTCCGGGCTCGGGTCTGAATTTTGGTGAACCAGCCCGGCCGGGTCGGGCCCGGGTCCGGGCCAAATTGATTTTTTTTTTTATTTTTTTTTCTTTTTTGGGCTTCCACCCGGGTTGGGCTTGATGGGTAGGATGGGTTTGGGGGGGTTTGGGAGGGTGGGGGTGAAGGGGGGGGGGGGGGGGGGGGCTAGAAAAGCAAAAAAAAAAAAAAAAACCAAACCTGAGGCCCGGCCTGGCCCGGACCCGGTGGCTACCCGGGCCGGTCCTGGGTCCACCATTCTTGAACCGCCGGCCTGCCCGGGCCTAGGCCCGACCCGGACCCGGCCCGGACCCGAGTCCACCCCTAGTTTGGACTGCAAATAATTATTGTGAAACAAATTTAAAAGTATTTACTTAAAATTGATCGCAAATAATAATATACTTCCTTCGTCTCTTTTTAGTTGCAACAGTCAACATTTCACGTTTGCCAACGCACAACTTTGATCGTCATTATATTGAATTCAGTATTATTAAAAATAAAATAAAAATCAGATTATAAAACTTAGTAATGAGTTGAATTTAACAATATTTTTCAAAAAAATAAGTCACATACATTAATAAATAAAATGTAGTCAAAGTAAAGTACATGAATAGTGTGTATATTCCAATGTTGCAATTAATGTGATACGGAGAATAGTATGAGAATATTGAGTACAATTTCTAAATATGAATCTTCTGATTCTTTCCTTGTAGTTTGAAATAATATAATTAAAGAATTTAACTCAAAATTGAATTTTCAGACTTTTGAATTTTTGACCATTCTTCAAATCTTCAAACTTTTGAATTTTTGAATTTTCGTTCTTTGAATCTTCAAGATTCGTTCTTTGAATCTTTAAATGTTCTTGAATGTAGAATTCAGCTTGAAGGGCATCTGGGTTTCAATTAGCTTGATCTTCAACAAAAGGGTCATTTTGTGGTTTGATCTTATGTCAAAGGTTTTCTCGAGATATATGCCTTGATCTTCAATTGAATCTCGATTCAATCTTTATATGAATGTCTTCACATCTTCAAAGATTTTCTCTTCAAATTTTCAAATATTCAAAACCTTGTTTTGGATATCGAATATGATCGTTATGGATCATCTAGAAAGATTGAGAGGTAGAGATAGGGTTGGACTCGGGTCCGGGCCGGGTCCGGGTCGGGCCTAGGCCCGGGCGGGCCGGCGGGTCAGATATGGTGGACCCGGGACCGGCCCGGGTAACCACCGGGTCCGGGCCGGGCCGGGCCGGGCCAAACCCATTATATATTTTTTTTTTGTTTTCCTCTTCCTAATTAACCCCCCTCCCACCCCCAACCCCCCAAACCACCCCAAATGGCCCAAAATACCTAGCCCAACCCGAAAAGTTAAAAAAAATTGAAAAAACAAAAAAAACAAAAAAATTTGGCCCGAACCGGGCCCGGGCCCGGCCGGGTCGGGCCTTGTTTTGGGTGACCCGAGCCCGGACCGGAAAACCGATGGGCCGGGCCTACCCGGACCGGTCACTGACCGGGCCACCGGGTCGGGCCGGGTCGGAATAGTGCCGGTCCCGGGCCGGTTCTGGGTCGGGCCACCCGGCCCGATTCCATCCCTAGGTAGAGACTAAGTTATTGGAATAGACACAATATCAAGTTCTAGACTTAGTTGAATGTTCGTTGAATGAAAGTACCGTATCACTATGAGCTCTATATTACAGGGAGTTTGAATAGTCCTCGCAAACGTCCTTATATATTATGTTTGTCTGGAGAATCGTCTAGGGATTCGCTAAGACCTTAATTTGATTAGTGCTTAATATATAAGGCCCTATGGGTCACACAACAAGTGATTATACCTTCCGATTGAATTGTTAGAAGGAATTAAATATTATTAATTGGATTGAATAATATTTAATTCGTAATACTGAAAATGGATTAAATATTAATTAGATTAAACATATTTAATTCATGAAGTTGAAGGAGAGTTATATTTGATAGAATTAATTAAGTAAGATAAATTAGATTTATTATACTTAATTAAGATGTATTTATTATTAAATAAATTTGTATTTTCTTTTATTTGGATTAAAAGAAAAATAAAAAAGCTAGATATAAATAATAATGAATAGAGAATGTGGTGCAGCCATTGCACGTACATCTCTATTATTATAATTATATTATATTCTCACTTTGTTACATTTATTTAATTAAACATTAGATTTTGGTCCTGGTAGGACTAGAACTCATTAATGAGCAAGACTTTCATTGTGATTGGGAAACTAGTTTAGAACTAGTATAAATACATCTGCCTCCTTCATAATTCTGAGACCAGTTTTCAGAATCAGTATTACCAGTTTATTTCCCTGCGAAAAGATTTCCTAGTCTTTCTCTATGGGAGATCTGACCGTTCGTTCGGAAAGGAGAAATCACGTGGATACCTAAGGTCAAGGATTATCACCGCTAGGTCGGAAGATATGTAAGTTCTAACTCAGATCAGATATGTTATTATTATCATATTCGTTGTTTTGTCATAATCAGGGAAGATCTGTTTGGGAAAATTTTAAACTTCCGCTGTTGTACTTTCGAGGTACGTTACATCAATTTCCTAATAGCTACATCGCATGATGTGTGGTTGAAAAGTTTCATATCTGGGCTTAGAGTTATGGACTCTATTTCTAGGCCATTAAAGATATATTGTGATAACTCAGCTGCTATTTTCATGGCTAATAACAATAAGAGTGGAAGTCTAAGCAAGCACATCGACACTAAATATTTATCCATAAGGGAACGTGTCAAAGACCAGAAGGTGGTCATTGAACACATTAGCACTGAGTTAATGATAGCTTATCCTTTAACTAAAGGCATGCCACCAAAGAAATTTCAGGATCTTGTAGTTCACATGGGACTTGGTACCATGATTTAATTTTCATAAGTTTATTTATTATGAAACTCTTATTCATTTTGGTGTATTCTCAAACTTACTGTGCACATTAATGATTGTTTTGAGAAATACCATTTTATTTGGGCTTGTAATAAACATGTGGTTTATTCATTAAGTCAAGATCATATGTTTAGAAGATTTAATACAGTATATTGTAATACATGGATGATAATACTTTATAGCAAAGGACTTGTCTCCACTCTCCATGATTCATATGTTTTATCTCTTATAAAGTTTGATAATGGGTTAAATGGACCAAGTGGGAGAATGTTAGTTTTTCCCGTAAGTTACGTTTTATTTAATTAATATTTTAATATTAATTATTCAGAAAATAAAGTACATTTATTTAAAGGGAAAAAATAATCTGAAGTGGTCCATTTATTAGATAAGGATTACCCATTATTTCCCAACTAAGTAGAGAAGATCGGTAACTTCTTCCTTTTTATTCGGTCGCACGATCGGGAGCTCTTTGATGGGAAGAGCTCGATAAATAGCAACGGCATTTTGGCTCTTGTTTTACACCATGAGTCTGCTCCTCACCATTAATATACACACCATCAAATAGAGTGAAGACAAGGGCTTGGAAGAGCAAAACAAGCAGGGCAGTTCACGGCGTTCAAGGAAATGGCCGGAGGTATGTATTTTCTATATCTTGCTTTCGCTGACTTCTATACTGATCTGAATATGTGCAGTATGTGTATAGCGTGTTTAGATCAGTTTGTTCTAACAGTTCATACAGAGGTGATTAATTAGAGTTTTATTTTTGTCCACATTTCTGCGTCTTCTTCTTCATCTCCACTTCCAGCTTGTTAGTTTCTTTCCTCGGCCACGAATCACACCAACACATACCCCGGGTCGGCTATGAGCTCCAACAGCGCAGCTCTTTAATCGTAGAATCCCTAGCTTGAACACACTGACACAAACAAAGCATTATTTTATTAATCTTGTGTTTGTGGCCTGTTTCAACGAAGATTATGAGTTTCTGGACTGTTTCATGGACGATTGTGTGTGTGGTTGAAGGGTATTTTAGATATTTAGATTATTTTTATTTGTTAATATTTAATTTTGTAGCTGTGAATAGCAATTTGGTGGCTTTGAATAGAACCACCCTGATGGAATATATAGACCACGACCCTCCGGCCTGCCGATTATTGGGCCTGGATAGCGATTCACGTACACCACCAGACAACATTTATATTACTGTATAGTTTACATATTCATTGTATGTACTAGATTAACTTTTTATACTATTAGTCCATTTATGTAACCGGGTCTGTTGGACGCATATTAGAGGCACAGACCTGAATTTCCCTATATATACTCCTTATAGGAGGCTTTTAAACATAAGTCACAACTTCTATATTCATACCCAATACACTTTCATCTCGTTCTCTCTTCGATCTTTTTCAATCTCTCCTAATTTATACAATATGGGTGTCGATTATCCATCAAATGGTGCTTTCATTGAGAGGTTTGAACACAATCAAGTGAGAAAACCTCCTAAAAACAACCAAAAATTCACCCAAATCACAGAAAATCAGTCTAAAAGATCCAAAAAAGAAGAGACGGAAAGCTGAAATTTCCGGATCTGAAACTTTTTCGGTGCGATCCGGACTCCGGCAGACTCAGTCAACTAATCGGAGTTGTCATGGCCATTGCGAAGCTCGCTAACCTGGCCGCACTACCTGAAGTTCACCGCTTTGTTGCAGCTGTCGTCGCCTCCACTACCGGTTCAGCACAGCAAAGCCACTGCAAACCTACGACCTGGAAAACATGTGAACCTCTGCCAGCCAATAATGGCGAGTACAGATCTAGCGACGGTGGATGAAGCTCTGTTCCCGACCCAAGTTGTAGATCCAGCGGCAAAGCCCAATCAGAGCCACACAGTCGCCGGAAAATTCATGCATAGCAGCAACGGCATCCACCGACGACGCCTTGCACCCAGCGGTAAAAGTGTCTGAGAAGCAACGGCATCCCCGACGAACTCCCTTCCACTCTCTGACGACGCCCAGGGACGAACATCTATGATGATTCCAGGCGCCTAGCGTCCCGAGCAAGCGAGGATCAACATGGCTTGATGATGGGAGAGCTCAGCAGGTCACTTTTCGTCCCTCACTCCTCCGACAGTAACTGACCACGGTGCATCGTCCTTCTGATCGAAGGTCGCCTCTCTTACTCGCCTCCATTTCCGGCGGCATCGAGGACCGGGCTGAAGAGCTGCTTCCCTTATCTCCACGAGAAATGAACGCAGGCCACACGTTTGAAGAAGGGCCTCCTAGCGCAGACTGTTAACTATCAGATTCTACCGGGAAACTTGGGCCAAGACAGGGCAGCAGTGGGCCAGGCCACATATAATCCAATTAAATAGTTCAACGGGCCTCAGTTTTAGCAACACAACCAATTCTCAACCCATTGATTTCGGCCCATCAAAAGATAAGTACTCTTTAATTTTCATATTATTTATATTTATTTAAATCATTTCTTTTAGTCGGGTGAATGTCAAACTATCACACAATTATGATCAAATGCCTAGTAGACTGTGACTCGAGGCTCATCACTGGGATTTAAAGCCCTAACCCAGATCAGGCACAAAGCCCTGACCTAGATCAGGCACAAAGCCCTGACCCAGCTCAGGCACAAAGCCCTGACCAAGTCGGGCACGAATACCGGTCTTAGTCATTCCTCGAGTGGCGACCATTGCTTACGAATGGCTCACACATCCACTCTACTAAGTATTTTATCATCATTAGCAATTCACATTTCCACTTTTTTCAAGTGACGAACTCCCGATCAGAAACATAAACCCCAAGAAAAAAATTTATATGTAAGTTAAATGTGTAGGTACGAAGATGACTTTACTCATTTTCACCTCGTCTCCACTTGCTTCAAGGAGTGGGGGACTGGGGGACTGAGGGGTCAGAGTTTCTAGATGGGCAAAAAATATCATGCATGAGCAGGAACGAAAGCCGAGTCGGATGAAGAGGTGCTGAGCTAGACAAAATTGATTATGTCGGAGAGAACTTACCTTCCTTGTTTCATGTTGGGGGCGCTAGGTGTACTCTTTTTCCCTTTATTAGGATTTTTTCCCACTAAGTTTTTTCCTAGTAAAGGTTTTTAACAAGGCACCTCCACATCATGGACAAGGGTGGTGGTCACCCGGCCGAAGAGGAAGAAACCAAAGACAGAAGAACGTTGCAGATACAATTGTGGACTACTCCCTTTCACCTCGAGTACTCTCGGCTCAGAGAGTGGGGGACTCCTGATGGAATATATGGACCCCGACCCCCCGGCCTGCCGACTATTGAGCCTAGACAGCGATTCACGTACACCAGCAGACAACATTTATATTACTGTATAGTTTACATATTCATTGTATGTACTAGATTAACTTTTTATACTATTAGTCCATTTATGTAACCGGGTCTGTTGGGCGCATATTAGAGACACAGACCCGGATTTCCCTATTACTCCTTATGGGAGGCTTGTAAACATAAGTCACAACTTCCATATTCATACACAATACACTTTCATCTCGTTGTCTCTTCTTGTTCAATCTCTCCTAATTTATACAATATGGGTATCGATTATCCATCACAGTATCACACCCTTTTCCTTTTGCTAAGGCTCAATCAATTATCATGAATGGCCCGGTAATGTTTAGATGAACTCAATAATATTATGGACTATCATAAAATGAAAAACCTCAGAAAATATTAAATAATTTTTTGTTTCCACAATTATATAATTAGTTAAACCATGTATTTTTATATACTATTGTGTCCTCATTTTATTTCAATTTTTCTAAATGTAAAAAATATTTTAAATTTAGAATTTGACCCCTCCGTTTCCATCTCCTCCAAAATCCTCCGGCCAAACTGACCCTAAACAAAAAAGTATTATGATGGAATCTTGGGTTTGGACAATATTATGCTAGAAAGTTCATCTCAATACGAAAGCATATGTGATGGGTCGGAGTTAGAATGGACAAGTTCAGATTCTTAGATATGCACCGCATGATCATTTGGACACTGCGGTTTCGGTCAAAATCGAGTATATCTAAATTCATTTTTCGGAGTATATAATAATCGTTATGATTAGGCAGTTCAAAAGTGTTTATCTCTAATTCTAATTACAACTATATATGTTTAAAAATTAAAACACTGCCTACACATATTAATATGTGAATTAACCACTTACTTGCACGTAGAATAATAAAGTAAAATATGTGTGGTTGAGATTTGTGCAGTAGAGAAAGAAACAATTTTAACTACATATTTGTTACTTTTTAATAAAAATGACAAAATTTATTGGGACGATCATAAAAGAAAATCTGACTAAGTTTTATGGATCGGGGGGAGTATCACATAGCCGGACACATCATAAAATTTTCAAAATCGATTCCGGCACATGTTTGATAAATATATTAGATCTATCCTCATACAAAATACTCCATATATGAAAGTTCTTATTTGAGTTCAGAACTAAACATAAATCACGGCATATAAAGTTTTAGTCCCTCCGCCCCGGTCATTTCTTCCAGTTTTCCTTTTTGGGTCATCCCAATTAATTCTTCCAACTTTTCTAAAAAGGAATTCAACCCATACCAAAAACCCTATTTTACCCTCCCCAATAAAAAAAACCTTTCCCACTCCCCTTCCCTTTTACCCGTTCGCATCCCTCTCTCTCTCATTTACTCCCACCCGCATCTCTCTCTCCCCTTTACTCCCACCGCCTCCTCTTTCTCTGTCACTGCACCCGTCTCTCTCAATTACTCCAATCGTCTCTCCCATTTACTTCCTCCACCCCCCTCTGTAAATCTATCTACCCTTCCGCCTCCCCCTCTCACATTTTTATGGATCTAAACCCTAATACTTTGAGTATGGAGAATATTGAACACTTCATCGTCCCTGACAGTGAAGAGGTTGTTCTTCCAGAGGAAGCGGTGGCGTTGGACACAGATGACCCTGTATTGGTACTCCATCCAAGGTGCATGGCTCAGAACTCCCCGACAGAGGATGCCCTCCTCATCATCCCGAACAGTGAAGAAGAGCTTCCCGAGGATGTAAGCAAGAAGCCTGCAGAGGTCGTGGGGGAGACGGTGGACCCAAATCAGCTTAAAAGACGCAGAGACATTGACATGCATCCTATTCGGAGAAGTCCCCGACCGGAGGAGTTCCTAAAAATAATTTTGCCAAAATGGGAAACAAGGATGTGGGACGTGGACACAGATTAGGGGAGTTTCTTCTATACCTTATCTTCATTTATGGTTTAATTCGTACTCTATGTCCATTGTGTGTAATTTGGGGGAAGCAATGATGAAAAATTGTTTTTTTATGTTTATTGTGATGCATGTGGGTTGTACATGGTGGTTTGGTATTATAAATGGTAGTTAGGCACACTGTGATGAAAGTATACCTTGTGTGTACTGGTCCTTTATACATACTGATGGAGTATATGGGTCTGAGCCCCAGGACCCACATACTCGGAAGAACAGAAAGCACAAGACAACAGAGTGGCGCCCTCGTCGGCCAAGACGCCCCCGTCGGCCGAAAAGGGGCCAACTCAGATTACGGTCCTGAGCCCAAAGAACTCGGGTGCCCTCGTCGGCCGCGCCCTCGTCGGCCGTGCCCTCGTCGGCCGCGCCCTCGTCGGCCACGAAGACCTCCCAGAATCGGATTCTATACTTACTCATTTGTACAGCCCATTAGAGGCTTTGTATTCGGCCCAGTAGCGGTCCAGTTGTAAATGGGCCTCCCAAGCCCAAGGCTTGGGAGCCCAACCCTAATTTTCTCTATAAATACTCCCCTTGGGAGTAGTTATAGGGGTTACAAAATCATTCTATTGAAGCATATTATTGCACTTCTCTCTCTAGCTCTCACTTCTCTCTAGATATACTCTATCATTTGGTGCTCTCGTTGAGAGCTAGAACAATCAAGTTAGCACCCTTCGTCGCTACCAAGCACAGCTAACCACTGATCATGGGGAGAACTAAGTCAAACCGCAACCTCGTCAGCAAAGCCATCCCTGAGGACCAAGAGCCCAGGGAGCACGATGAGGACGCCACGGCCGACCAGGCCGGCGGAGGGGACCTCTTCCAGGAGGCCTTCAACCTCACAACGGACCTCCGCAACCAACTCAACGGCGGCGCCCCTGATGCCCGCCTTGGCTTGGACAAGAAGCGAGCTGAAAAGACGGATCACGCCCCGGCCCAGCCTATGTCCGCGGCCTCTCCGTCCGTGGATCCACATGTCCAGGCCGCGCTGTCGGTCATCATCGCCAGCCTAGCTCAGAACCCCACCGTCCTCAGCGCACTCTTGCCAAGGACCGGGGGGAACGTCACTCAACCTCCTCAGCACCAACCGTTGGCCGTCCAGATAGGCAACGATGAGGGGGTCGTGGCCCAGGACACGGCGTCGTCCCACTCCCACCCTGTTTCCCCTCTCCGGCCCGGGCAGACCCCAGCGCGTGGAAAAGCCTCTGCCTTCAATAGGCTAGGTGACACGCGCCGTCGTCCGGTTTCGGAGAGGATGGCGGGACGGATTGGTGATCCTCGTCCTGGCTCGCCAAGGGAAAGTTTGGGGTCTGTGTCCCGGACAGCGGACCAGCCCCGCCCGGACAAGGGCAAGGGGAAGTTGCACGAGGATGACGCGCGTCACCAGATCAACGCGGCTCACAACGACCGCATGAGGAACCAACCGGGCGCCGGCGCGGCCGACAGGGACCCCCGGGACGAGGTCATCGCTCAGCTGGAAAGGAGGCTGGCTCAGATGGAGGCCAGGCAGTCGGCCAACATCCCTACGGCCGGCGCCTCCAACGACCCCGGCCTCAACGCGCTCATGAACAAGGTCAGCGCCCTGGAGAGGGAGCTGGCCGAAGGGCGAGGTGACCCCATCATCCAGGTCAGAACCAGGACCCCTTTCACCAACAGGGTCCTCTCGGCCCCCATCCCTGAGAAGTACAGGGGGAACGCCATCAAGTCCTACGATGGCCGATCAGACCCCCAGGAGCACTTCAGCCGTTACCAAAACAACATGCTGATGGTGAACGCGTCCGACGAATACCTCTGCCGTTGGTTCCTCTCTACTCTCGAGGGGCCAGCGTACGAGTGGTTCAACGGACTGCCAGAGGGAAGCATTGACTCATGGCAAGATCTCGCCCAGCGCTTCCTCACTCACTTTGCCGGGAGGAAGCGCGCCAAGAAGTATTTCACCCACCTCCTCTCCGTCAAACAGCAGCACGAGGAGTCCCTTCGGTCATTCATCGACCGGTGGACGAGGGAGACCGAGGAGTTCGAGGGGGCCGATGAGCGCACCCTCCTCGCCTTGTACCAGGGAGCCCTCCGCAGCTCCCCGTACGCCAGGAGCCTCATCACTGACCCCCCGAGGTCGTACGCCAAGGCGCTCCAACGCGGAGGCTTGTATGCCGACGCCGACGAGCTCCACAATCACAAGAGAGAGGGGGGCCATCCCCCCAAGAAGACAAATCCTTCGCCGGCCCCGGGTCCGTCCCCGGCCGGCCAGGGTGCCCAGGGCCGCCACGGCTCTGGTGGACAGAGTAAGAAAGACCGCCACTGGCGGCCGAGGCTGGAACGGCCGGGGGTAACCCTCACCCACCCGGTCGGCACCATCCTCGATTACGCCGAGAAGCATGGCCTCATCGAGCAGGCTCCTCGGCCGGCCGAGGAGATCAATGCCATCCAGCAGGGCGGCACGTACTGCCGGTTCCACAAGAACTCGTCGCACAACACCGATGATTGCATCACATTGAAGAAGGCCATCGAGCGCCTTATTCGCCAGGGGGAACTCTCCCAGTTTGTCAAAGGTGGCCCACGTAAAAACACTTGGGTAAACACCGGCAAACATGGGGGCGAACCCTCTGCGAAGAAGCGCGAGATTGGTAGGCTCAGCGACGACGAGGACTTCGAGGAGCCTCCGCCAAAGAAGAATCACATCCACCTCATCGTAGGTGGGAACACTGGGGGGGACTCCGCCACTCAGAGAAAGAAATGGGCCCAATCCCTTTACATTGGGGAGGTGTCCCACGTTCCCCCTCAGCCGAAGAAGCAGCGAACGGAGGCGATCACCTTCACCGACAAGGATCTGCCTCCGGGTACGGAGTCACACAGGGACGCCCTCGTCATCCGATGTGAGATCAGTGACTCCATCATCCACCGTACTTACATCGATACGGGGAGCTCCGTCAACGTGATGTACCTGGACACCTTCAAGCAGCTGAAGCTGGACGGAGCTTTGTTGAAGCCGATCAAGACCCCGTTATCCGGCTTCACCGGGGACTCTATCGACGCCGAGGGCACGATAGTCCTCCCCGTGGAAGTCGGTGACGGCCCCCACCACGCCAAGATTGACATGGAGTTCATGGTGGTCAACCTCCAGTGCGCCCACAACCTGATCTTGGGCCGGCCAGCGCTGGAGGATTTGGAGGCCATCATCTCCATGAAGCACCTATGTTTGAAGTTCCCCACCAATGACGGCATCGGCTACGCCAGAGGAAATCAGAGGATAGCCAGAGCTTGCTA